TCTCCGCGCACTGGGACGCATCGGCCGTGGGCCACGCCACGTTCCCAGGCCGTGCCGAAAAATTTCCGAAAGAGTCGAAAATCCCCGCAAGGCGGACTTAACCTTTGCGAGCGCGTCCTAGAACGCTGGGGCAGACTGGGGACAGCACCCCGGTCCCGGGCACGCCCCGTCCCCGCCTGGCTGGCATTCGTTTTCCTCTTAAATAGCGCTTGGGAGTTTATTTTCATTGTAAGAGTCATTCATGCTCTTTAAATAAGATTTGGAAAGTGTTGGAAAAATAGACCCACCGCCCCACCCCACCCCCCAAATAAAAAATCAGTCATCGGCAAGGGCAGGGAGGGCTTGCGCACATTTCGGCCGGTCTTTTAGGCTCTGCTGGGTGATTTCAGTCGTTGCTGTTTAAACAGATTGACTCAGCGCCTAACGTCACCCCTAAAATAACATTCGTGTTCTGGCAGTCTCGGATTTGCCGGGGGCGGCACCTTAGTGAATCCCCCCAGGCATGAGCGGTGCCCGCATCCCGGATTTACAGGTGGGAAACTGAGGCTCAAGCAGGTCTCACCAGAGCCGCGGTCTGAACCCAGGTGTGGAGTGCGGTGGCCGGTACTGGGTCACCATGCCTTCTACCTCCCTTTTCTGTGCACCAGCCCCTTCCTCCGGAAACCCAATGTCCTCATCTGCAAAGCAGCCTCTGGCTCAGGGGTATTAGACGAGGCGATTCACACGGCGCGGGCTAACGGCGAGCGTGCGGGTAGTGGACACCTGGGACTGAGCAGCGAGGGGCACGTGGCGCCACGTGGGGCCACGGGCCAACCAGCAAGAGTCCGGCGCCCCCACCCCGCGCGACACCACTGAGCCTCTCAGCCCCCGGCCCTCGCCAGCAGAAAGGGGACTACTGCGCTGCCTCGGGCCCCATGAAGGGACCGCGGTCGCAGGGGCAGCAGGACGAGGCTGCCGTGCTCCCTCCCCGCGGATGGTTTCCTCCTGCTCCTCTGCATCGCGCGGTTTCCTGAGCTGCTGTGGCCTCCACCCCATGACGCTCCCCTTTCTCCACTAGCACTGACTTCGTCCTTTCGCTCACTCCGCAGTCAGCTCGGTCACCAAACCCAGACCTACTTCCCGGCCATCATCCCTGCATCTGGCTGCAGGCGATGGAGCCCAGGGGCGACAGGGGAGATAGGCCCAAGGCACGTGCGTGGGAAGTGGAGACTGGCAGAAGGGCGGGGATTCTGGAAGGGGGCGGGATGGCGACGGGGCTGCTATGAAGGTGATTAAGACAATAGCCGGGAGGCGCCTTGCACCGGAGCTAGGAGACTTGGAAGAATCGCAAAGACAGGCGAGCGCCCGGGTAGCTGCCCGCCCCGCGGCTTCCGAGCAGCCAAGCGCATAGTCCTCCGGTGGCCCAGAGGGTCACCAGAAGTTTCGCGTTGCTGTCGCCAGGAAAGCCGAACACACACATTCCAGAGGTCCAGAACGTAGCCGGATTTCCGCCCCGCAACCTCCAGGGCAGCCGGGAGCCCAGTCCTCCGGCGGCCTAGAGCGTCGAAGGAAGTCCTGCTTCACAACCTCCAGGGCAACCGAGCGCACAGTCCTCCGGTGCCCCAAAGCGTCGCCATAAGTTCGCATTTTGGTCGCCAGGGCAGCCGAGCACACAGTTCTTAAACGGTCCACAGCTTCGCCGAATGTACCGCGCCACAATCTCCAAGGCAACCGAGCATTCAGTCTTACAACGGTCTAGAGCGTCACCGGAAATCCCGCCCCACAACCACCGGGGTAGCCGAGCGCACAGGCCTCCTGCGGGCTAGAGAGTCGGCGGAAGTCCCGCCCCGGGGCCTCCAGTACATCCCAGCATGCAGCCCTCTTGTAGTCTAGAGCGTCGCCGGAAGACCCGTTCCACAACTTCCAAAGCAGCCGAGTGCAGTCCTACGGTGCCCCAGAGCCTCGCTAGGAGTTTCGCGTTGTGGTTTCCAGGGCAGCCGAGCATACAGTTCTTTGGCGAGACCAAAATTTCGCCGAAAGTTCCGCGCCACAGTTTCCAGGGTAGTCGAGCATGCAGTCCTCCGGCGGCCTAGAGCGTCGCAGGAAGTCCCGCCCCACACCCTCCAGGACAACTCAGCACGCTGCCCTCTAGCGGTCTACGCTGGAAGTCTGCCCCGCTACCTCCAGAGTAGCTGAGCACCCAATCATCCAACAGTCTAGAGCGTCACCAAAAATTCGTATTATCTTTAGTCCGGGCTACCGAGCATACAGTTCTCTAGCGATCCAAAGAGTCGCCGAAAATCCCGCGCCACAACCTCCAGGAAAGCCGAGCACGCAGTCCTCCGGCGGTCTAGAGCGTCGCCGGAAATCGCCCCACAACCTCCAGGGTAGCCGAGAGCCCTCCGGAAGTCTAGAGTGTCGCCGGAAGTGCCGTCCCGCAACCACCAGACAGCTGAGCTCCTAGCCCTCCGGAGGTCTAGAGCGTCGCCGCCGGAAGTCCCTCCCTACAGACTCCAAGACAGCCGAGATAACAGCGTTCTCGCGGCCCAGAGTGTCGCCGGAAATCCTGCGCCGCGGCCTCCAGGGCAACTAAGAGCAGCAGTCCGGCTGTCTAGAGCGTCGCCTGAAGTGTTCGCGGCGCTTGTGGAGGGGTTTACGGCGCTTCGGGGAGGGCAGCAGGGGCTGCGGAGGCTGCGCGTGAGTGATGGCCGGCCGGCTGAGGGGCGGCAGACGCTGGGGCTCTGTCGAGCGCGGCGTGAATACAGGGTGTCTGGCTGTGTGTCTCTCCTGCGCTCTCACTGAGAAAGAGCCGCAGGTGCGCTGTGGAAAGTGGAAGTGGGAGGACGCACGGCAGTCGCGGCCGCGGGACAGCCTCCCCGCCACGGCTGCGACGGCCGCCAGGGGTCGCTGCATGCCCAGCTGCTGGCCTGGGTTGGCCTTCCTTGTTCTTTATTGAAATTGCATAGTTCCCGAGGTTGTTTCTGTAAACAAGTTGGAGATGAAATTTCCGTGTCGGCAAATCGCCAAGATTCCCAGTGTCGGGAGGTTCCCGGGGTTGGGATCCCAGTGTGACTTTGGGGCCTTCGGAAGTCGTCCCACGGCCGCCAGCGGAGGAGCGGTGTACGCGGTCCCCGTGTCCCCCGCTCTTCTGGCTGGGAACGCGCTGTCCTTTTTAAGCCTTCGCAACTTTCAGAGTAAAAAATGGCATTTTAAATTACGTTTCTTAATTGCAGATGCGGTAGGACAAACGCAGGACTTGTGTTTTAAAATATATTGGCTCCTTTTTTTGCGGGTTATTCGTGATTTTTTACCAAATTTTTGTGCTTTCTCAATATGCAGCGGACTTGAGCCTTTACCTGCGTTGCAGATATCCACGCCCCACACACACCATTTTCCCCCCATTCGTTTTGTTTTTTATGCCGTTTTCTTCTGTAGTTAAATGTCATACTTTGATGTCAAGTTTAGCAAAGTCATTTCTCATTTCAAAATTGCATTATTTAATCTTTTAGATATTCAAGTCTTTATAATCACCAGTAGCGTTGAAGGACCCGGGGCTAATTCTGTAGTCGTTTTGAGAACTGGTCGCGGCACCGGGCGGTTCGTGATGGAGCGAGGTGATAGTGGCTGATGCACACCCGTCTTTGCCGAGTCTGGGGGTGCAGGGGCCCAGCATCCCCTAGAACACTTAGTCTCTGGGGTGTCTGTCCATTTTTACCGGCGGAAGGAGCCGGCGGTTGGGGCGGCTGCTCCAGGCCCCCCCCTCCCCCGGGGCGGCTCTGACCTCGCCCCAGCTCCCCCAGCCGTTTCCTTCCCTCTCCTTCCTTCATCCACGCAGCTGTCCCCACGCTTCATGGTTCTGTGGGGCATCGAGCAGACGGAAACCCTGATGGACACTCACACGGGCGAGGGGGGCGGCCGGGCCCGGGGAGTTGGGGAGGACTGTCCTGGGGCTAGGGAGTTGGAGACAGCTCAGGAATCAGGGCTCCCTGAGTCCCCCCACTTACTGCTGTGCTTGCCTCGCTGGGCTCCATTCCTGTGCTCTGCTGGCCACACCCTGCAACCCCCTTTTCTCCAGCTCCCCTGCAGACTTCCGAGGACAAGAATAGGGATTCTTGACTTTGTTTCTCCAGGGCCCGGGCGTCGGCTGGCCTGGGCTCAGGCGGTGACCAGGAGGAACGTGACCATCTGGCTAGCCGCCCGTCCACTGACCATGCCCCCTCGGCTCCAGCCCCTCCATTCTGAGGGTTCGAGGCCACGCGGCAGGGCTGTCCGCCGAGCCTCATTCGGGTCGCTGTGGCTGCTCTTCCCATTACGTGAGCAGCACCGACGGCAGCGTCACTGTCCCTTAGCAGAGGGACACGGTGTTCGAAGCTGGGTCCCGGGCCCCTGGTTCTTGTTCCGCGTAGACCCTGGGTGGGACAGAGCCGTGGCCGCTCGGGTCCCACGCGCACACGCTCCCTACCTGTGGCTCGACGTAACAGCCTGTCAGGGAGCCGATGGAAAACCTCGGTGGGCACCGGCCTGTGCCGATGGCCCGGTACAGCACCCTCGCCCCCACCTGGCCACGCAGGTGTCCTTGTCACAGGTGGCCGTCTGGTCCCAAGCCGAGCGTTTTGCCTGTCTGGCTACTGCCTGGAGGTGGGGGGCTTCCTCGGATGTGGGTGGCCTGCCCGGTGGTCTCGCCCTCCCCAGCCACCTCCCAGGCACCTGTGACAGGAGACGTCTCAGGAGGCTGCTGCTCCCTGGCCTTGTGCTGTCCCGCGGGTCTGAAGCCCCTGTCTGAACGGGCACCTGGTCTGTGCCCCGGAGGCAGCGGAACCGAGTGTACGCAGCTGCTTCACTGCCCCCGCCGGCCGTCGGCCCTGGGGAGCGGGTCCGGGCGAGGACCCTCTCACGTGCACAGAGCAGAACCCTTCGAGTTCGGCGGGTGGGGGGCTATCAAGGAAGCACGGTCGTCACAGGTGTCCAGGGTCAAAAGAATAAGGGGACCAGGACGTGTGCGGTCAGGGCCCTCGTGTCCCTGTGCCCCCGGGACCTCTGCTCCGATTTCCTTCTGCGTTGCTGCCGCAGGCCATCAGGCAGAACGAGGGCACATGGCCTGTGTCCTGCACCCCTGAGATGGCTGGCGGCGGGGTTTCCTCTAGTCCCCGGTGTGGGTGCGACGGGCCTCCCTCCATCCTCCCTCCACGGTCCCCCAGGGCTGGGCGGGAACTGGACACGGACTCCATTACTGTGCTGTCGTTGCCGAGGTCCCCAGTGCCATCTCGGTCACGTGCATGTCGTGCCAGCTTTCTTATCTCTAAGTGCACTCAGCCGTCGTTTCCAGTTTTCCCGGCTCAGGCCTCAAGTGTCCACTGGCTCCTGAGTGACGGGCGCAGAGCACGGAGTCGACGCCGCAGCAGGCGGCTTTAAAGAGGGAGGCGGCCATGCAGCGGGGGTGCTGGGACTGTGCCCGGCTCGGTGGCCACCTGGGTTTTTGGACCTTTGTGGGAACCAGGCAGCTGGAGAGAGGCCCAGAGGGTCCCTAGGACCTGCCGTTTATGAGGAAAGCGAAGGGCCGCAGGGCCGGGCTAACAGCATGTGGGGCGCAGGCGGCACCCAGCGCAGGGGCGGCGGGGCGCGGGACGGGGTGGGAACCCGCATGGCAGTTGCCGAGTTGCCGTGGGAGCGTCGGCGCCCATCGGACGGGGAAGCGCCAGCGCAGGCCGGATCCGTTCGCCCCCTGTGGCCACAGAGCCAACGACAGCCGCTAGAGCGTGCGACCACGGCTGGACCTTCTGCCAGAGCAGGGGTGGGGGGCGGGGTTCAGGGTGACACCCGCGCTCCTGCCGCGCAGAGGTCTGCGCACCTCGCCCCACGCGCAGTGAGCAGGTGACCGGCGTCTTGGCGCCTTGACTCCCTGTGTGGAAGCCTCCGCATGTCTGTCCCCTGCCTTGCCGGGAGCGGGGGAAGGGGCGTGTTGGGGACGGCAAGCTCTATATACACGTGGGAGACGAGGTTTCTGTGAAGGGACGTTTGGTGGTGACACACGTCCACTGAAATTAATTTATTTTCACAGCGGATTTTTCCTGAGTTGTAATTTGCACGTGGTGAAACGCACAGGTCTTCAGTGAATGGTTTCGAGATTTGACAAGGAGACCCCGTCTTGACCTCTGTGACCCCCAGAGCAGTGGCCGGTCTGAGCGGTCTGTGTTCCCTCCGCGGGCCAGGCGCACCTTACCTGCTGTCGCACCGGCTGCTGCATCGGCCCGAGGCTGGGCTCTCGCGGTTCCACGTGGTCTGGATGCATCTTGAGCCAGAGGCCAAACTGAAAAGGAAAACCATCTGCCTCCCGACGGAGACTTTTAAGGCACTGCCCATCCTGTGCCCCTCCAGTTCCAGGAGCCTGCAGGCAGCTGGGGCCCCAGCCATGGCACAGACGTCCCTACCACCCTGCCTGTCGGTGACAGTCCCAGTCCATCCTTGGCCAAGCCTGCGTGTCCCAGCCGTCGGGACCTTTCTGGAGTGACTTTCTGGCAGGCCAGGTCTTCTGAGGGCCCGTGTCCTCGTGGGATGGCCCCATTGCCACTGCTTACTCGTGAACAGGTGGGCTCTGCCCACCACACCAGGTCACCGCTTTCCTGCCCCCAAGACAGCCAGGAGGGAGTCCGGCTGTGGGCACTCGGTCAGCCTTCCCCAGGGGACGGGCTCAGACAGGCACTCGGGCCCTTGTCGGTTCAGGGGAGGCGGTGCAATGTCTGACGGGGCCCCTGCCCGGTGTCAGGACAGAGGTGGTGTGGCACATGGGCCTTCCCTGGTCAGGGCTTGGGATCTGCCCTCCCTGAGGGTCCCTTCCCCTGGCCCATCACCGCGCAGTGTTAGTGGCGTTCCACAGATGCCCACCCCTCCCCTGTGCAAAAATCCCGAAAGACAGCTGCGTGGGTGGGCAGCCGCGAAGGACACAGGAAGGGGCGTGGTGTCGGTGACCATCTGCATGACACAACAAACGCCGCAGCAGAGCATCTCGCCCAGGGTTCCCCGGTGTCGCTTCAATGCCAGACGGCTGCAGGGAGGCAGCAAGATTCCCGTTCAGAACTCAAAGTCCTCGCTGGCCGTGTCCAGCGCCCAGGCGAACCTCTCCCTCTGGATCTTGCTGTAGATCTTCTCCACGGGCACCCCAAACCACTTACACCTGCGGGAGGACCACAGTTCTTGGGGGGATGTAGGACAGAGACCAGGACTCTGGGTGATGGAGGGGGCAGCTTCCTGATGCGGGCCAGGTGTCCCCAGGGTGTGCTCAGGGACTACACTCAGGCACATAGGTGGCCTGGCCACTCCCACCCGCCATGGGCAGGCTGAGCTGCACGTATGTCCCTGCCCAGCCCTAGGCTCCCCCAAAGCTCTCTGGAGGGTGAACTGATGACAGACTCGGCATCTGACGCCCAGTCAGGCGACTGGGGGCACATGGGGAACAGAGGCCCCTCCTCAAGGCTGCATGAGGGCACACGACCTGGGCCCACGTATTGGGCGACGCTGATCCGGGGTCCGGGTAGTTCAGCTTGGATGTGCCCACTGCCACCTGCTTGCTCTCCCCCTCGACTGTGGCCCGTACGCTCAGCATCACAAGCTGCCCCTCCAGTCTCTCCAGCAGCCTCTCTTTCTTCTGCAGGAAACTCGAACAAGGAGGGTCACAGGTCACCACAGGCTCACTCCCTGGGGGGGCGAGTCCAGCGACATGGGAGGCGGTGCTTGTCCCACAGGCCGGACACTGAGCCCTCAGCAGAAAGGAGAGGCCCATGCAGACCCACCTGCACGGACAGGGAGGCCTGTGCCAGCACGGACGCCCAGTGGTCCAGCACCTGGCATCCCTCACCCACGTCACCTTCACCAGGGCCACCCTGCCCCTGAGGACACTTGTCAGGTGAGAAAACCTTCACACTCAGGACCCGCAGCCACGGCCATCGGGACGAAAAGGAGACACGCGACTAGAGAAACCAGAAGGTGACGAGGCAAACGATGTCGACGCGAGACGGACAGACGCCCGGAGGCGACAGCCACCAGGACCCACTGCAAGAGGTGGAGGATGCGAACAGGGCTCTCCAGGTAAAGCGGCGGCATCAGTCCCATTCAGAACCTCACCGGTGAGGTCACGTGCTTAAAGAAGGGACACAGTTCTTCACAAACGGAGGAGACACCTGCCAGCTTACTCCGAGGCCGGCGTTACCCGGACGCTGAAACCAAAGGCATCACAGGAAAACGAGACCGACAGCCCGTCACAGACAGCGGCAAACCCAGCGACACGGGAAGACCACAGGCCCTGACTGCGAGGCGAGGACGTCTCGACGCCTGGAGACCCGTTGGCACAGTGTGCCCACGGTCACCTCAACGAGGGCAGAAAAGCACCTAACGAGGCGACACCCATGGAGCAAACAGATCTCTGAGGACAGGGAACACGAGGGCGTCCGGGGGAACGCCCAGCAGACACCGCCCAGCAGACACCGCCCAGCAGACCCCGCCCCGTGGTGCGGGTGAAACCGGCCCCTGCAGGGGCTCACGCCACCTGTTCCCAGTGCTGTGCCCGAGAGCCCAGACTGACGGAGGACACGTAAACTGTCCCTATTTGCAGGTGGCACGACTTTGACACTGGCGAGTTCGGCAGGGCTGCGGGCTGCCAGGCCATGGGCAGCGACTGCGCTCTGCACAGGAGGTGGGGCGGCTGACGGGGCAGGCCTGGCTGTGCTTGGAAAGGCCTACTGTGGGGGCTCGGCTTCGGGAGGGTCCCTGTCACCATCACGGACGAGCACAGCTCACTGAGCCCGGACCCTTCACACAAAGCGGCTTATGCTGAGCACCTGCCTGCCTTCTGGGGGTCTGGGAGGTTGGTGGGTGCCAGGCAGAAGTGCCCATGTGACCAGCCTCCATGAAAACCCAGGACACCGGGTCTCTACTGAGCTTCCCTGGTGACATTTCACGTGCTGTCATAGCACATTGGTGAGAGAAACTCAGCATGTCCTGTATGACTCCACGGGGCCGTGCACCTGTTCCCTGAGTTTGATGGTGCCCTTTCGCTGTCCTAAGTCACAGCTGTGACTCTGCCGACACACAGATAACGTAGTTTGTATTTTTTTTAAATCACAGAACTATTGGAAAGGACGCCGGAGGATCGGTAAAGGGAAAAGCTAAAGTCTACAGCCAGCCGCCCCGACTCGAATGGCTGGGCCCTCAGGACACTCACCTTTTCGACGCGCTGTCCCCTTTTGACTTGTGGTCAGCTCTTGCCTTCCTCAGCTCCTCCTGGGCCTCGGCCACCTGCTGCTGCTTCGCCTCTATCTGCAAAGGAAGAGGGCCCTGTCGGGGCTGCCACTGCCGCTGCCCCTACCTGGTCCAGCCCCAGGGACCCATCCACAGCCTGCTAGCCACAGTGCCCTGAAAGGCCCGCCCCACAGCGCCCACCTGCCAAGTTGGTGCCAGAGAGCCAGCCTGACCGTCACTGTGGCGGGGACAGGGTGAGGCCAGGAGGCCCCGAGTGTATCACCTGCCCCAGCGAGACCCGGCCCCCTGCTCCACCGACCTCCATCCTGGACTACGGGCCTTTCCACACTGTGGGCCACGCAGGGCAGCCACCCAGCCCTGGGCAGCACCAGTTCTCAGGACCACCCAGAGGCCCCTGTGGGGAGCTGCCACATCCATGTGTACCTTGGACTGCAGGTTCTGCATCACCTTCTCAAGGCCCTGGGAGTGGCCCGATGGTTGCAGAGGAGGGCCACGGCTTGGTTGTGACAGGACTTTAGCAGCCACGCTCTTCAGCTGAAACAGGAGTGGCCGCCAGCCAACGAGGGTGACTGCTGCCACCACCAGTGCTTTATGAGGCCACTGGTCAGCAGAGGGGCCCTGTCCAAGGGACCCACAAACCAGGGCAGAGCTGGGTGTGAGCAGGACTCCACCCGCCAGGTGTCAGCCTGCATCCACTACACATTTTTGGAAACCAGGAATCAGTAAAGACTATGCCACCAACTCAACTTTTTAAATGGACAAAAATTCATAACAAATATGCAGATAAGTGCACACAAAGGTGCCCAACATCTGAGCAAACGCAAGCCATGTGAGCGCCTCGGCTCTGGGCCGACGTTTGCCTGCAGCCCCGACGAGCATGGGAACGCACGCGGGCAGCCACCCTGGAAACTGCCCAGCCGTTTCCAGCCCAGCCGACACATGACGGTGACCCAGCCATCCCACCTTGGTCCCTGCAGAGAGGGCATGTCCACACGGCAGCACTTGTCGTGACAGCCCAAGCCTGGGGGTCAGCAGGGAAATGGACACGTGGCATGTGTTCACACGGTGCTGGGGCCATGCTGGCAGGGGCCCAGAAACGTCCTGTCTCTGAGGGGAGTCCCATGGGTGCATGCTTGTGAGAGTCTCAGTGGAGCTGTTCCCCAGGATTAGTGTCAACTCAGGTGAAAAAGTTTTTTAAATGAGAATAAACAAAAATCCTTGGCACCTTATCTTCCTTGTCTTGGGAGCCTCCCCCCTAGTGCCTCTGCTCCCTGGCCCCCCAGCCCTCCCTCCCGTGACCCTGCCTCTGCAGCAGACCTGGGGGGAGGTCAAGACAAATCTAGCTGCACCCCTCTGCCTGCCTCTCCAACTGGGAGGAGAGGTGGCCAGACAGGGAACCGTCCAGAGTACCAGGTGGCCACTGAGCACTCAAAAGGGCTGCGAGGGAGCGGCCACTGCACGCACCTTTCGCCCATCGCTGAAGAAGTTTTGGAAAACTTCTTTGGTTGCATATTCGTGATCCAACATTCTTCCGTAAAATGTGGCAACCTCTTCAGCCACCAAGCTCACCTTCACGGGCTTCCCTGCAGAGGCCAGGAGCCTGCCCCTCCGTCCTCTAGCCCGCCCCGTGCCTGTAAATTAAGCCTCCTCGCAGTACACCAGGGGCGAGGCGTTCTGGACTTGCTAAAGTTCAGAAGCACATTCTCCACTTAAGAGATGGACACGCCGCGTCCAGGCGGCCACTGCAGACACCCTGGAGGGCAGGCTGGGAGCTCCGCGGGAGGTGTCCGTGGCCACCTTTGCACGCGTCCCTCCGGCCTAACGTTCCCTTTGGCTGCTACACCGATGTGGACGCCTGTGGATCAGCACGTGTGCAACCTTAAAACACGTTGTCCACATAATTACTGAAGCAACATAAAAGTTAAGGCTTCAAAGCAGAAAACTGAGCAACTGTGGGGTAAGCTTTCAAACACCGTCACCTCTGTGCCCACCTGCCCCCCACTTTACTGTCCAGCCAGCGTGTATGAGAGACGTGGCGACAGATAGGCCTGTGTTTAGGTAGAGCAGACACCAACAGTGGGGTGAGGGGGTGTTCATGGTGAAGTTCTTTCAACTTTTCTGGATGTTCAAACTTTTCGTAACCAAATGTTGGAAAAATAAATGTGCATTAGTTTGGTAATAAGGAAAAAGGCATTCACGATTAAACAGCGTATTTCTTCCCCAAAGTAGCTTTCCAAGAGGACCGAGGACATTAGGTGAACAGCCAAGGCCCGAGGGCTCGGCTCCACCATCACCGGCTCCCTGTGCCTGGCCCACCCTGCTGGCAAACGTGCCGGCAAACACCCTTCTCTCCGCGGCTGGGCCTCCCGGGCCTCCCTGGCTCCCCACTTCCTGCCCGCCTAGCCAGGCAGCTGCTGCTACAGGCGGGTCACAGGCACGTCACGGGCACACAGCTCGGTCAGCAAGGCCCCTGCGGGTCACCTGCAGCACCCCTGTCCCAACCAGGCGCCCACACGGCACAGGGTGGGCTCTGACTGTACGACCGGCCACAGCATTTACACTCTGGCTCAGAACAGATTTCTCAACCAAAAGTCACACCAGCTGAGCTGCAGTGAACGATGCAGTTGTGAGTCCTGGCTGAGCATCTACAGGGACAGGTGCGCGTGTGGCCCAGCAGGAGCCCAGGAGGTCCAGGACCTTCCAAGGAGGTGGGGGGAGGACTCCCCGAGCCCCAATGGTGGGGGGCGTTCTCCCTGCTGTCCACAGGCAGCCTCCTTGCAAGGTGGGGGGCGAGGGGGCAGTGCTGCCCAGGCCTGGCCTGACCCAGAGGAGAGGTCAGCTCTGGCAAATGCAGAGAGTGGCCAGAGCCGGGGAAACTAGCAGCACGAGAACCAAACAAAGTCCTGCTCAGCAGGGTGGACAGAGTAAGGAGCTGGGGACAAGGGACGGGGGACTCCTGAGCCATCAGGTGAGGCAGGCAGGGCGACACCCATGTTCACCTTGGGTACCTGTAGTAACCGCTGTTTCTGGTTAAGAAGCAAAGCCTGGGCACCCATAAGCAGCATCTGCAAGCACCCAGGGGCACAGATGCGGGCCCTCACCCAGAGGGTGGTCCTGGACACAGCCCACGCTGGCCACTCGAGCGTGGCAGGAAGGGGGCAGATTCGGAGGGCACACCAGACTCGGGTGCTCAAGGGCAAGGCCTGGACTGCTTGGCTGCCCTCCCGCCGGCTCGGGTAACCTCTGAATCCGCCTCTGCCTGGCACCAAAGCAAAGGTCCCACGGGTCTCCTAGGGCGGCCCACACATTGCCAGGACAACCCAGCCCACAGCAGGAGGGCGGCAGAGCCCCGGGGCATGACACCTGCCCGCCCCCCCCATCTGGGCACACGTGCTCCCCCGGCGCCTCAGGCAGGTCCTCACCGTCTGGGCAGAAGCGAACTCCATCAGGAAGGGGCTCGTATGGGGGGCAAAGTGCTGGCCTCTGGGCTCCGGCTGCTGCCATTTCGCTCCGTCCTGGCTCTTCTCCCCCGACCTACGGGACAGGACGATGCTGACCCATGCAGCTGGGGGCCCAGCCTTTTCCCTGTGTCCCTCACGGACTCCCTACTGTGTATTGGGGGCAGGAAGTCGGCTCCGGGTTCAGGGAGCCACATGAACTGCAGTGCTGCATCTGTGCCCCGCGCGTGCCTTCGGGGAAACTGAAGAGTAAGGCCACCTGTAGCGCCCGCACTCCCAGTGCACGTGCACATCCGCCCCAGCCGAAAGTGACGGTCAGCTGGCCCAGAGCGGCCGGGGTGCACCGCCCCCACGCCCCCTGCCCTCCGTGCCTCACCTGGCTGTGCGGACCGTCTGCAAGGGCAGGGGGCTGCGGGGGACATCGGTGTGTACCCCGCCCGCAGCCCTCCGCAGAGGGAGCAGGAGCCTAACCACCTGCATTCGCTCCCGAGGCCCCACCCCTCTCTGGGCCCGCCCCCTCCTCTGGCCCCGCCCCTGCACGCTGGGCAGTGGACCCGGTGTGTGGACCAGTGGCTGCGCTGGGAAGTGCTTCCAGGAGCGTCTTCCAGGCAGGTGGCTACACCCAGCAGGGCCTCTCTGGGGCGTTGTCCCCTCCCGCCCATTACCCTGTACACTGGGTCCAGCCTCCTGACTGCAGACAGGCCCACGATCCAGGTCCAGCCTGTCCCACGCCCTGGCCCAGAGCTGCCTGACCCTCAGGGACCTGAGGCTACTCCTGAAAGGTGACCCTGGGTGCAGCCCAGGGCCTGCAGAGAGTAGATGTCCCGTTTCAGTACTGGCTCGCCCATTCCCTGCCCCCAGGAGCTCCTGGAGGCACCTGGTAGGTCCTCCGTAAACACATGCTAGCCATGTTCACCAGGCCAGACATTGGAGGGCACCCCTCCACGCTGTCAGTGAGCCCTACACTGCCACAGACGAGTGAACCTGTAACAAGTGAAGACAATGGCAAAATGCCAGCATGGCCAGAACGGAGTCCCGAAAACATACCCTCCATCAGACATACCCCCCAAGCAGCCTCCCAGACGTGCCTAGGAGTCCTGTAACACAATCCCTGCTGACCAGCCTCTCACCCCAAGAGAACCCTGGGTAGCTGAAACCTCCCTCCCTGCACTCACTGGCCAGGGGTTTGACCCCCACTTCTGCAGGGCAGATGGCCAAGCTGCAAAGCCAGAGCAGGCCCTGGCAGTCGCTGTGGGCCGACCAGCAGTGGACTGCACAGCTCCACTGCCTGTGAACCTCAGGCAGGCAGCCGACCCTCCTGCGTCAGCCTCATCTGGAGACTGAGGCTAACGGGCTCGTGGGAAGGGGATGAGTGGACACAGGTAGCACCTTCCCCCCACCCCCCCACCACAGAGCATGCAGCAGACCTCGGACGCTCGCTGTGAGCACCTGGGTGCAGGTCAGCAGGTGCGAGCCCACCCCGTTCACCCTCAGTAACCTTCACCACTGCCACCAGCTCTTCAGTCCCCACGGACACCCAGGGGCTGGAAGCACTGGCACAGCCTCAGGGCTGCGGTGAGTGGGTATCAGCACCCAGGGGGCCAGGGCGCTGGGCACCACCATTTCTGAATGACCACGTAGCTGCTGGCTGGACACAGGCTAGGACAGCAGCAGCCGACGCTCCCCAGAGGCGCCCCCGTACCGGGTGTGTCTAACGGTGTGACGTAGTCTCTCACGGCCCTTCCAAGGCCGGGTCGGGAACTCCAGCCCAGGCCTGCGGCTCCTTCCACGGAATCACCGAGGCCACTGTCTTCACATTCAGGCTGCTCGGGTTCTATAAACAGGATGAGGCAGGACAAACGCCATAGATCTCTAAGCAGATGCACAAAAAGCACCTGCCCCAATCCAATAGCCTTTCACGATAAAAACAAAAACCGCACTCAACAAACTAGGACGGGAGAGAATCTCCTCCACCTGCGACAAGCAGCTCGTGCCGCTCGGAGGTGGGAGACAGGCCGCGTCCCCCAGGTCAGAGGCGGACAAGGAGGTCTGTTCTCAACTCACTATCCAGCGTGGTCCTGGAGGTTCTAACTGGAGCATACAGGCAAGGAAGTGACACAAAAGACAACCAAACTGGAAGAGGCAAACTGTCTCCACTCACTGACGCCACGGTCTCGGCACGGTCTCGTGTAAGCAAACCCGAGAGTCTACGAAAAAATTACGAGCTAATAAATGAATTCCACACGCTGCAGGAACGGGATCCACGCAGAGATCAGCTTCCTACACCTGCAACGAGCAGCCCGAGAAGGACGTTAAGGACGTCCGGGCTCCAGAGAACGTGACACCACCAGGAAAACAAGGAGGCAGACAACCCACAGAAAGGAACAAAATGTTTGCAAACCCCATATCCGATGAGTGTCCACAATATGTAAAGAACGCCTACATCTCAACGATAAAGGAACAAATGACCTCAATAAAAAACCGGCAAAGGATCTGAACAAACGTTTCTCCAGGGATGACGCACGAATGGCCAGCAAGCACAGAGGTGCTCAGCACCATCGCCATCCGGGGAAGCCGCTAAACCCACAGGAGATGCCACCGCACGCCCGCCAGCTCCGTAACCCTGCCCAGGTGTCCCCGATCGTAACCACAATTCCTTGCAAGTTCCAGTAACCCCAGTTCCCACTCGAGACACAAAGCTCGGAAAGTGTGAGTATCTCCCCCGAACGCGAGCAGCCGCAGAGTGTGGGGTTGGTACAACACGGGCCTTG